CGCTTTTTACTTTTTTTGATACGTTTTTACGTGATTATGTTTTTATACGTTTCATAATTTTAAAATATTGCGTCCGTGGTGCGATAATAATTATGTAGCTGAAGAGACAATGGAACCCTCTAATCGATTGGAAGATTCACAAAGGCGTGTGGTAAAACGTAAGCGACACTTTCAATACCTTTCTGATGATGCCAAACGTATGCTAAAAAATGTTTATGAAGGACTGTGTGCTGAATTGTCTAAATCAGAGGCAATTGCAGAAACATGTGTTTTAACCAGAGTGCCCAAAGCAACCTGCTACAAAATTATAGGAGAAACATCTTCTAGACAGAAGAGAAAGGATTGTGGCAAATTCAGAAAAATAGAACCGCACTTAATTGAATCTATAACTAGAACAATATACCAAATGTATGCGGCTAATATTTTTCCAACTATTGAAAGCCTTCGAAGTGAATTAGTTCGAAAGTGCATTCTCTCGTGTTCAGCAACAACACTTCGATTATTTCTTAAAGCCAATAATTTTAAGTACAAAACTATGGACAAGAGACAAACATTAATGGAAAGTAGGTACTAGAATAATTTCTTTAAGAAACAATTATATCAGACAGATAACTGAGTATCGAAAAATGAAACGAAATATTGTTTATTTAGATGGGACCTGGATGATACTCATGACACCGTGAAAAAAAAGTTGGACAAATAATAACAAAAAGTGTTTTAACTCAGTACCGCCCAATAAAAGAAAGAGGATTATAATTTTACACTGCAGTGGAGAAAATGGTTGGGTCGACGATGCATTATTAACATCTGCAAAACAAATTAAAAACGCGTCTCTCGATTATCATGACGATATGGAAAGTTCAATTTTTGAATCATCTTTTGAAAAATGTCTTCTTTCGAAATTACGTAAAGATAGTGTGATTATCATGGACAACGCATCATATCATTCAATATTAATGAAAAAAACTTCAAATAATAGTTGGAATAAATTAAAAATTCAGGAATTTTTATTCACGGAAGATTTGTATTATAAGACATCTTATATTAAAAAGCAATTGTTGGAGGTTGTTCATAGTAAACAGTACGAAAAGGAATATGTTGTTGACAACTGTGCTCGTAGTAACGGGCATACTGTGTTTAGACTTCCTCCTTATTATTGTACATTGAACCCAATAGAGTTAATATGGGCTCAACTTAAAGGAAATATAATGAGAAGAAACGTTGCTCCAAAATTTTTTGTCTACTGTTCTCCAGTTAATTAGAAGAGAAGTCACAAAGATTACAGCAACCAACTGGAAAAATGTAATAAAAATAAAACATGTGAACGGAGTGGAAAATGACTATGTTCAATATTTACCAGCATTAACCACATTACCTATAAATTTAGATGATACGAGTGATAATAGTGATTCTGAGTAGATAGTAAGTACTTATTAGGTGTTAGTTGAAACCTTTATTTCTATTTTAATTCTAGATATTCTCATTTTGTTTATATATCTTTGAAAACAGGTTATAAATACACTTCTTGATAGGACAAAAATTATTAATGTTTTAGGAGAGTATGTCAACTGAAACTGTCACTATCATTCTCGCTGAATAACTACTATTATTAACAATGTTTTATATAGATATTATTATTTTACAATAAGTTCTGTTCAGTCGAGTCGATTAGTGTTATCACTCTCAAGATATATCACAGAAGTTAAAAACACCGATATTTTTTATTTAAACTTTATAGAAAATGAAACTTTTTGGTAAATAAAATTAAATAAAAGTAAAAACTTTTATTTAATTTAAAATTAGATATCTACGCTACTGTTCTACTAATACAGTAGTGGTAACTCTAACAGCGTTGCCATTTTACTAGTATTTTGCTTCCTTTGGTCTCTGTAAATTTTCTCACGAAATTACGTGCCGACTTATACCTACTTACAACCCCCTGTCGTGAAAAGTCTTAGGTTTATACAATAAAGCGAGTGGGCGGTTTTCTATTCAGTGCGGTTATGGAGTAATTAGAATAATACGAGTAGGTATACCAGAGTAATATTATTTATTGAATAATTAATTCACTTTAACTTAGCAAGGGTACATAACTTTTATACAATTTTATTACAAAATAATATATAACAAGATATTTTAAGATCACAGTATCCGTTTTTTATGTCTTATATTTGCTTTTGTTTTTTTTTGTTACTTTTTTTACTGACAAATTGGCTTTTAACGTAGATTACAGTTTGATGATAAATATTCTGAAATGGAAAATGTTGAGATGCGACGAATAAAAACATTCATCAAATTAAAATGAAAGGATTTACGTCTATTAGTAGTGCGATTTATAAAATTGTACTTGAAGCCTAAATCGCCGGAGGAATATGTGCATGTCTTCAAAGATTTATTATTTACTATATAATTTCTAAATTGAACCACTTTCACTTCTTTAGGTAACAATGTATATGTTTTGAACTAAATAGGTAATTCGACAAAGTAATGAGTATTATTTATTTCAAAAACAGGAGTTTAAATAATTAGAAGGACGTAGTCAACGCCCAGTTGAACGGTCAAGCTTATTCCAGTGGAAGCAATAAGGAGGATTATTTTTCGTTTTGGCTCAGCTGACATGCTCTCTCTAGCACTACAACCCATGTAACTGTGGTAAAAAGCATGCCTTTATTTACAAGGTTGTGAAACGAAACGATTAACACAGACATCGAAGAAAGATATGTTGCCGAACTGGATGCAATAAAGTATGAGAATAGAAGGTACAGTCAAGTATGGCATACAACGAAAGCAGCTCAAATGGTTATTGCAACAACATTCAAAGCAACAAATTGACTTTTAACTTACAAAATCGACATTTTGAAGCTTTGTCAATATTCTAAAAAATAAAATTTTGTAATTTTATATTAAGTATTTAGCTTTCTAATAGAGTCAAAAAATCGAAAAAATCGCGTTTTTTGCATTAAATTGTTAATCATTAAAAAACGCCTCCGAACTTTAGGCAGGAAACAGGTAGGTTTTCTTCTTATGGGTCTACAATAACTAAAAAAGTTGTCAGCTACCTGGATTATTGAGTGTCACGAGAAAATCCGTATTAGCCTGGACTAATATGAGTGGACAAGCAAGTGGCGAAACAAACTTCATATATTATGTAAACTTTACTAACAAAAACGTTCAAAATAAATATTCCAATAAATATAAATAATCAAATTCCATATTCTAATACTACAAAATATTTGATTATTACTCTGAGCTCATGTAAAGAAGAAAAGAAAATAATAATTCTGATTGAAATATCTCCCTCGAGCGGGTATATATTTCATACCTACCTGTCGGCGAGAATCCAGAAACTATCGACAAGGACAGCCTGTACTGACCGAGAGAGAGTAACATTTAGCAGAACTTTGAAATTTTCTAAAAAGTTTATATCAAATAGCTGCTTTGTGTTACACTTTATGTTAAAAATAAAAACAGATTCGGAAAGTGGGTCAAATTCTGTAGTGCCCTATTAAAAAAAAAAATATTGTTTAAACAATTTATTAATTTACAACCAAATAGTGCACTAGAACTTTTTAAGACCTTCCATATAAAAAAAGAATCATCTCAATATCTGCCATAAACTTTTACATTGGAATTTAGCTATGACCAGAATCGCGAGGAACGGCCTTAAAAATGTGATGCTTTGCGAATACTTGTGGCGAAAAATGATCTATCTCCAATATATAATTATTATTATATGCATAGTGACCAAAAGTAAAAATAAAAACAGTGATATGCCTATTTTTCAATATGAAGATTTGAAATTTGATGTTTGTAACGTTGCCAGATTTACCATTTGTCTGATATCCGTAGTCACTTTGGTTTTTGAATCCGTAGTCAGGAACATTAAAAAGATAGACAAAAGCTTAGGAACGCCTAATCATCTCAATATTTTTTTTTATTCAAACTATGTACAAATAAATTTGAACATAGTAATCGAAAGTTTACTACAATGCTGGAATTAATGCCCACCTAATCAAGTGCTCAAAATGTCCTCCGTTGATAATTTGACAGTATCCTAAACGATCGTAGAATGCGTCTATTATATTTTTTATCATTAGCTTTTGCAACACTTGCTGCTCTAGTTTTATAAATTCTATTTTTCGAGTATGCTCAATAAAAATAATGTTTAGGATCCAGATCGGGTGAATAAAGAGGCCATTCAATACTGCCTAATCTACCAATCCATCGTCCGGGAAATGGCTGATCTAAATATCGCCGAATTTGCAACAAAGCTTTTGCTGAAATTTGTAAATCTTTTACACATTTCGTACAGCTCAAAAAGACAGAAAACGATAGGTGTTTTCATTTAAGGCTGCAAAAATAGGTTTTTGCAGCATAACACAGAAATAACGTCTATTGATACCAATACGTACACGGAAAGTTTGACGAATTTTGCTTCTTTCGCCGTTTAAAATCATGAATTTGTCGTCTCAATTCATCAAAGCCGTTTTGTGGGAGCTATTGGACCATGTTAGGATTAATCTTTTATTCCGACAATACATTTACAGTTTACCCTTGATAAACGCCATCATATGCACTCTTCAGTTGTTTTTATCTATTTTTGTCTTTCATTTTGCCGTGGGACTTTCAATTTCATTCATGTATAAGTCGTTTTTGTAATGTATCTCCCATATTCTGCTGATCTGTTTTAAGTTCGAGTTCTCCTTTTAGATTATTTAGTTCTCTTTTTTGGTACGTGAGTTACTTTTAATCGGCTTAACTTTTTATAGAATTGCTATCTTATAATTTTGTCTTGATATTTAGAATATCTTCTGACCTTTTGGTTATCCATATCCAGTCATTTTTCTTCTTTTTATTTATGAATTTGCATTCTTATAACAGTTTTTTTGTTAGTGTTTTATAACACTACGTTAGAGACGTAACTGTTTTATGACAATAATAATTATTGTCTTCAACAAAGATCTTGTTCATACTAATGACATATTTTTCTTTTGTTTCAGAGCGTTGATTAGATATGTATTTCTGTTGATACAAGTTAAGAGTTTACAACGAAACAACCAAACAATTTCACAAATATTCCAGAAGCATGTCAAGAAACATCCGAATAAGACTTGTATATTATTTGAAGATCAAGAATGGACATTTGCTCAGGTAAGTACCAAAACGTTTTCTATATAGTTTGTGTGATGCAAAAACTAATTAGGTCAAAATAGTTTATTTGTGAGAGAATGGCGTGAAAAAGCAGTTATGTCATCTAAGTCTTAAACAATGTTGTATTTTTTAACTTTTGTTATACTGCTAAACAAAAAAATACATTCTCTTGTTAGGTAAAAGAAATAAATAATATACTTGCTCACCATCAATTTATTCTACCTTGGACAGCGGATCTCGCATACTAAAATTTGGTGTATATCTTCAGATCTCCTGGCAGGTAACTTAAATGCTACAATATAATTTGTCATAGGTAAAAGAAATAATAAATAAGACTTGCTCACAATCAGTTTAATTTAACTATCTAGACGACCGGTTTCGCTTTCTACAATATGCAAAGCATCTTCAAGTCAGTCGATACAAGTTAATTAAATGCTGAAATAATAAAACCCATATTATGGTGTATAAATATAAACAAAGATAAATGATATAAATTGCAGTAATATGTCAATATTACATGTCTGTGGTTTTTCAAAATGAATAAACTGTTTAAGCAGACAAAGTAAGTAAGACCCACAAATTGGTATAAAAATAGTCTATTGAATTGTAATAAATTAGTAAATAAACAAAACATTACTTACATGCCGGTACTCTATCAATTAATGGTTGGAAGAACATAATTCAAACTATCCTGTATTGCTGAATGGAGAACTTAAGTTTTTACCATTGTAATTGTTTGACCATAACAGGGAAGTTTCTTGAGGAGATAGATTTTATCCAATGAAGTAGAAAATAGGTGTAATATGATTGTTTGTTAAATGAGCGTGATGTTTTATATTATTTAATTCTTTAAAAGTTATTTATATTTATTCAAGAGATATATTTATGAAATGTGTCTTATTTATTGAAATTTTATAAATGTGACAGTTGTATGACAATGAATGAAATTAGATGTACAATTGTGTGGGTGTGCAATTTTCTTCAACTTGTAATTATCAAATTTCTTTGATAAAGTTTATTTGCCATATAAAACCTTAACAATGGGTCATGTTAGATGTCTCGAGTTTCCTAAACCTGTTGTCCGATTTGAGTGAGTTTTCTAGTATGTTGTCATATAAACTATTGAAATTAAAACTCAATTATAGCCTCAGGCTTTCTTAACATTATCTTTTTTGATTTATTTGCTTATGTTGGATAATAAAAAAGTTAGGTACTTTAACAACTAGCCATGTTGTTCATCAATAAATGCTCATTTTCTGCTTAGTTTCACCGGCATATATTGTTTAGATAATATCATAATACGAATGTTGGTGAAGCATTTTGAATTTATATTACAATAGTAGTACAATATGAAACCTGTTTAAGAAGAAATAAAACACAAAGATGTCAGACTCAAACACAATACGGATTTTAAACACATTAACTTTATTGTACAGTTTGAACTTAAATTGGTTTTTTTATGCATTTTTTTTATTGAGCCCTTACAACTGCAGTTATTCGTTTTCTCATACTTCTGATAACGCTATCGATCAGTTGTTGAGGCAGTCTCTCCCATTCCTCAATCAAAGCAATTCTGACTTCCTCTCTGTTTTTATTAGCAGGAATCCGTGCCCTAAGTTTTCTGCCTAGCATGTCCCACACATGCTCTATCGGGTTCAGGTCTGGGGAACAAGCTGGCCAATTTATCGTTGTTATATCCAGTTGTAATAAGAAATCTCTTACACAGCCTGCGACGTGTGGGCGCGCACTATCCCGCATTCAAATAAAATTTTCGCCAATATATGGTGCAAAAGATACCACATGGTCTTGGAAAATATCTCTGATATACCTATCTGCTGTTAATGCGCTATCATCAATCACCACAAACTCTGTTCTTGCTCCCAAACATATGCCTCCCCACACCATAATTGAACCTCCACCAAAAGGTACGGTCGTAATAAAATTGAAAGGGACATTTCGGTCTCCTTGGCTTCGATACAATCTTTCTCTACTGTCGATGTAATTTACACAGAAACGGCTCTCGTCCGTAAAGAGAATTTGACTCCAGTGGTTATCATTCCAATTTTGATGTACTCGACCAAATTGTAGTCGGGCTAAACGATGGTGTCTTTGGAGTCTGGGAGCTTTTATTGGCTCATATGGCTTGAGACCAGCTTCTTTAAGTCTTCTTCTTACTGTACGCTCACTTATGGTAGTTCCACGAACGTTTTGCATTAGGTTTTTGATTTGAACTGCCGTTTGACGTCTACTTCGTAATACATACTCCCCGGTTTGTCTCCAACAACTTACACGACGATGGATGGTTGATGGTGATTTACCAAATATTCCAGCAACTTCCCTGTACGTTCGACCATTTTCGACCATTGTTACGACCCTAGCAATATCAGTCGGTATTAAATCACCCATTTTTACTTACTCTTTGCAATAAGAACACTACTGATTAGAATAAATCAGAAGAAAAATCACATCCAACAAACTCAAACAAATTAACTTATCAATTAAATACAGATACAGATATTATCAACAGACAGAACGACTGTAAAATGCACAACACAATACAAATAAACAAATTAATTTGACATTTTGACATTTAATACTTTCTTGTGACAAGGAGCATTCAAAGCTATGTAGATATAGTTTATAAAATACAAATATAAAGTAATATTGCATTAATAACTTCCTTTAAATTTGCCTGTGTTTGTATTAAAATATTAACTTCTCATAGCCTACTTTAGGCTTGTTTATTAAACTAAGCAGACAATGAGGATTTATTGATGAAAAACATGAGTTGTTAACGTACCTAACTTTTTTATTATCAAACACAAGCAAATGAATCAAAAAAGAAAATGTTAAGAAAGCCTGAAGCTGTAATTGAGTTTTAATTTCAATATTTTATATATGCTAGAATATTCCACAGGGTGTTCCGAACTTTAAGGAAAAAGCACAGTATAATTTTTACACCCGGTATAAAATGACACTGACCTGTCTAGCAACAATATTATTACATCGATATTCTTAAATAATATAACTACATATAACATACTAAAAAAATCACTAAAATCGGACAACAGGTTTAGGAAATTCGAGACATCTAACATGTCCCATTGTTAAGGTGTTCCGTTAATTTTGCCAGTGAGTGTATTTAAAAAAAAATTGTTTCTTTGCAGATTTTCAAATTTTTTAAATTGTTTATTGTTTTTTTCTGTGTAACATTCTTGACTTGTAATCAGTTTGACTTTTAAATTTTGTTTATTATTAAATACTTAATTGGGAGCATCTTAAACTTTTTTAAACGCCAATTTTTAGAAATAATCTGACTGTACGGTTAATTTTGTACCCTAGTGTATGTCCCTAACAGTTTATTCTTCACTTTTTTGAGATATAACGTTCTTCTTTCAAGGTAGCGATATATTGGTTTAAATAAAAATATTATTTATTGTTTTTGTATTTTGTAATTTTCAGGTGGATGAATACAGCAATAAAATAGCAAATATATTTAAAAGTCACGGCTACAAAAAGGGCGATAAAGTTGCTTTGTTCCTAGAAAATAAACCTGAGTTTATCTGTATATGGCTAGGCCTGTCGAAAATAGGCGTGATAACTCCATTGATAAATACAAATTTAAGACTGACAACCTTGGTACATTCAATTACCATCGCCAAAAGCCAGGCTATCATCTTTGGAACCGAACTTTCAGATGGTAAGTTTTTGTCCAAATTTACATTATTGTACATCTGGTTCCTAAAAAACTGATACAATAGGGAACTTGCACATTTTTTTTTATTATATAATAACGTTCAGTTTCATTTAAAAATAAGATTTCCAAAATTTCACGCCTCAAAAACTCATAATGACTTAGCAATACAAATTTAAAACCTTTCGTGTATAAAAATCATTTCAAACGATCGAAAAAGCGCGCGAACCCTTGTGACGTCACTTGGTGGTATTGTCTGTATGTCAGGTCTCCTGTCTTGTATAAAAGTATAAACTATTTTGTTTATATTGGTGTTTGATACAGTTTTTGAATACAGAGTGTTGAATTGTGTATGTTTTTACTATGGAAAGTAAAAGTAAATACTACAAGTGTTGTTTAGTACCATTGTGTAAAAGTACAACCATTAAAACCCCCAACAAAATATTTATTAGATTACCAGTACAGTATAGATCATGTTATTTCTTTTTACTTGGACCCATCCTACAGCTGCATCTCCATATGATTATCTGCCAGATCTAAATGCAAACGATGAATAAGTTAATTTGATTAAATTTCACTACAATAGCATAAACATATAATATTGACACCACTTATAATAAAGTACTAAGTTTTATCATTAAATACTTATTATGAGAATAATATTCACAATAAAATTAATGTAATAGGAGTATATGTACTTACTTATCTGCTTTAACTCCCCGAACTTCTCCCAGGGAAAAATTTTCACCGTTTTGAAAATATGTGGCTACCATAAACATATTTACAATGGGCAAGTTATCAGACTGGCCTTTGGAAAAACTCTCTTCGGTCATTTAAAAAAATATATCTGAACAAAAACACTTAAATACTATTAAATATATCTTCTTCTTCTTCTCGTGCCACTCCTAGCGGAGATTGCAATTCATCATGGCCACTGCGACTTTGTTAGCAGCGCGCCTAAAAAGTTCAATCGAACTACACCCGAACCATTCACGTAGATTACGAAGCCACGATATTTTTCTTCTTCCCACACTTCTTTTGCCCTTAATTTTGCCCTGCATGAGGTTTCTTAAAAGTTCGTACTTTTCACCTCTCACAATGTGCCCCAAGTATTCCATCTTTCTAGTTTTTATCTCATTTAGAATTTCGCATCTTTTGTCCAAAGTTTGGAGTACTTGCGTGTTAGTGACGCGGTCCATCCATGATATTCTGAGAATGCGCCTATAGCACCACATCTCAAAAGCTTCGATGTTTTTTATGGTCAACTGTTTTAGTGTCCAAGCCTCAACTCCATATAACAGGGTAGAAAAGACATAGACATAGACAAGACTGTGTGAACTATATATTAAATATATAGTTCACAGCAACTATCTAAAGATTTATAAAACTGAAATACACCATAAAATTACTATAACAAGTAAACGAATGTCAAACGTAATGAATTAATAGTGCCAATCTTTGAACATTCTGACTATATGACGTCACGACCAATGAGGACGCGTTTTGGACTGGCTGCTATAATTTGAATTTTCTCTCGATTTTAATTTCCCCGTTTTTAGGGGCCAAACTAAAGACAAAAACAACTATTTTTTGTTTGATATATATTTTAAATTATGTTTTGTTATGATTTAAGGCATTTTTTTCAAGTTTAAAATTTTATGCAAGTTCCCTATTATTAAGACATATTTTGTAAAAAATTGAGCAGTGTATTTTGAAGGATAAATACTTATTATTTACTTACTGTCACTGCCACTTCCAAATCTTAAAATTTGTCAGATGTATAGAAAACTTATTTACTGTGACTCAGGTGTATAGAAAACCAACACACACCAACAGATATTTAAATTTCAAATCAAATCACAATATTAATATTAAAAAGGGAATCATTAAATCCTTATACGTTAGAGCCAAAATTATTTGTTCTAACGAAAATTCGTTCTTGGATTAGAAGCATATGTTAACATCTGTTTTATTAAAAAATGATTATCCTTTATCGTTTATAAATAAGGAATTTTCAACAGTCGATCGAATAGATCAGAACAACTTAGAACGAGATCCTACAGCATACACAAGGAATAATACGAAGAAAATCTCAATACCGTACATAAAAGGATTATCAGACAAACTTGAAAGGATAGGAAATAAATTCAAGATTCAAAACAACAAACTCGTTGAGATCCATTTTGTCCAAAACCAAACCTAACAATGAACAAGAAACGACAAAGAATTGCATTTATAAAATACCTTGTGAATGCGATCAGTTTTATTTAGGTGCCATCAAGGCCATTAAATGTTAGAATAAATGAACATCAATCTTATATTAAAAATAGAGAATTTGATAGATCTCAAATATGTAAACACGCATGGGATAATGAACATAGGGTTCAATGGAATAATTCAAATGTAGTCATAAAAGAAACGGATGGTAAAAAAAGAAAAATCAAAGAAGCGGCTCTAATTATGCTAAATTAGACCAAGTCGCAAATTCCTCGGCAGAATGTAGTAGGATCAGGTTACTCATATTGAAAGAGGAAGTTATTAAAAAGAAAATACCAGTATTAGAAAGTCAGTAACATATACAGGGTTACGCAATTGAACTGTTACCAACTTCACATCGATACATCTGGCCAACCAATAATGACAGCTATGTCAAAGTTTTCCTAGTAACACTTCAGTATATTGTTTATAAGCCGTCAAAAGCATTTGCATTTAAGTTTTATACATACAACAAAAGTTATTCGCCATAGAATTTAAACGTAATAGTGTGATTGCGTTATATTTTGCTGGAAAATCTCAACCAGCTATTGTTCGTCAGCTCAAACATCTCAAAGTGAATAAAATGTTTGTGTATCACACCATAACTCGTTATAATGATACTGGTAGCATTGCCAAACGCTATGGTGGTGGACGAACAAAAAACAGCAATATCAACTGAAATGGTTCGGAAAGTGAAGGCTCGACTTGAGCGAAATCCACGTCGTAGTGTAATCAAATGGCCAAAGAACTGAAAATATCCCAGCGAAGCATGCAACGAATATTGAAAAAGGAGCTCAAAGTCAAGCCTTACAAGTACTAAAAAGCACACAATCTTACACCAAAGCAAAAAAAAGTTCCGCTTGAAAGAGCAAAGGAGCTGTTACGCCTGCACGAACGTGGCGAATTTTCGAACATAGTGTTATCTGATGAGAAAAATTTACCTATTGAGCAGTTCATAAACTCTCAAAATCATCGGGTTTACTTGACCGAACGCACCTGCGAAAGTTTGAGGTTACGAACGGCCACCCGAAGTAATTTCCCATCTCAAACAATGGTATGGGCAGCTGTAACCGCCGATGGACTACTCCATCTGGTCCATTTTGGAGAGCAAGGTGAGGACTAAAAAATATGCCAGTATGGATACGCTGAAGAAAGCAATTATACGTGAATGGGCCAAAATACCGGAAGATCACAATCTTGCAGCATGCAACTCGTTTTTTGATCGTTTGAAGACCATAGTCAAGGCAAAAGGTGGTCACATCGAGCTAAAGTGAGTGGATTCTGAAATTTTGATTATTTTCACACATTTTTGTCATTTGAATCAATAAAAAATAATTTCACACAAAAAAAAAAGTATGGTCGTTTGAATAGGTAGTACAAAGGTAGTAACAGTTTGATTGCGTAACCCTGTAGAGGATACATAATTTATGTTTTTTAAATAACGAAACATATAAAATCAAAATTTGGTGATTATTGAAGGTAAACTAAATGCACGACCAAATACTTACCATATCGGGATAGTATTATGAGTTTTTTTTTTTCGTGGTTTTTCCCTCATAATTTACTATGGAATCACTGATAGGAGAATTTTACTGTCATCTTGGCATGTGTTTGTCTTTTTAAAGACGAATTATAATGCTATGATTTTTTCTGGCGGATATTCTCAAGTTAAAGTTGATTTCATGTAATCGAATGAACTATCTTATAAGTAAAATCGTCCCAGGAGCGTAACTCAACAATATTGGCAATATCATTTTAAAGTCGTCTACTTTAAAATGCATAATGTATGTCTGAATTGTCAATATAAATGAGTCAGATAAAATTAAATTATTATAAGAATTTTTCACTAAGTAACAAAAAAACAAAATTTGTTTAATTTATTAATGTTTCTATTTTGAGAACGATTTCCGAAGTCGAAATTGAAACGACAATAAACGTACTTTAACCTTTAATTGTGGCTTATTCCCAAATAGTAATTAATTTAAAATGCCACAAGAAAATAGTTTCAGAACAATATTAAGAAACTGTATTTTATGTAAAAACTATCATTTATATACTCTTTTAATATCAAAATTTAGAACTTAAAAATTATTACAGTTTATAAATTAACATAATATATGTAATAAATTGTTACATAAAAAATGTATCTTTTTAGGAACCAGCTGTACAATTCAAAATTTTATTGAATGTTTGAATTTTTAGCTCTTAATGTTAATAAACAATGGAAATATGATTTAAAAAACATTGCCATTTTGGTTCACATTGGTGATAGTTTTTTTTAAGATTGTGATTTTTCGTCATCTTTTCAGTGAACCTATTTACAAGCACGTGTCATAAAAAGATCAAAGTTATTATAAATGTTTATTAGGAAACAGTCAGCCCTTTTTCAAACGTTTATTTTAATAACAATTTTGATAAATCTTGAATTTTTTTTTAATGTCTTAAGTCGAATTGGCAAAATAGACCAACATATTAGATCCCAAATACAATGTTTACTACATTTTTTTTATCTAAACAAAAATGACCCTGCATCAATCACTAAGAGTTATTAGCAGGGGGTACAAACACAAATTACTTCAATTTCTTACAAAAATATATTCTATTAAATACTGTAAAATTTAATATCTTTCAAATATTTCAGCACTTGGTTGAACTGGCAGCTTAGTAGATCCTTCATGTTGGTAGAGAGGTTATTTTTTCTTTTTTCTTGGGTGTATGTTTTGCATTCTAACAGAATATGTTTCACAGAG